ACCTTTCAATAACACGCTGTATATTAAGAAAAATAGGAAAAAGAAGCCGAATGGATGTAAAAATTGTATCCTTTTAACAAAAATAAAGTGGACTACAGCAAATGCATTTTGAACAGTAAACGTTTTCAAAACAAATTAAGTAAACATTGCATGAATGGATGAAAATTTTGTATTGTCGTCAACAAAATGGAACCCTACATTGTGTTTTTTTTGCGGAATGGGTTCAAATACCTACAAAGTGATGATGTTGGAACAGCACCCTTAACACAAAATGAAAAATATAAAAAAAAACAAAATTGATTGGAAATAAATTACGCATAGCAACAGCGGCGCGAAGGGTATCTCGTAAAGGCCTATTTGCCCTAACCACACCTGTAGCACGCCCTATCGATTTTAAACACCGACATTCCGGAGGCTTACTTCCATCCTAGCAAATAATGCAATCGCGTAGACTCCTAGTCCGCTAGGGTCTGAAACTCTGCATTACAGATAAACATCCACGTGGAAACGACGAAGAGAGAAAAGCTCACGATTTGAGCGTGCGGTCACTCCGCTTACGCCATGCGATCCCGTGCGTTTATTTCGATTAAAGTTAAAATTTTCCAAATTTTGACAATAATAATATGAGTATTATAATTACAAGAACAGAAATAAGCACAATTTAATTATGCCACACTCTATCAAGAATTTTAAACATCAAATACTATGCATGATTTAAAATTATGCATTGATTTAAGTTATTGTTCAAATCAAAATGGAGTTCACCTAGATTACGCCATGGCCTCAATAACTATATACATAAAACAAGGACTTATCAAATAAACAAAACAGACACAAATTAAATACGTCAAAATCAAAATTGTATTTAGTTCGAGAATAAATGTTCAAATTCAAATTGCGAGAGAATAATTCGGATGTAAGAAAATAACACACTTATATCGGTAATACAAAATAGACGTAAAATACACCTCACATTTCGAGTAAGTGATGATAATAATTTTTGTTAAAGGACGGTTTGGTAAAAGGGCAATAAAAGCCGCAGGAGCTACATTCTAACATATATTGATTGATACACAAACATAACACGCCTTAACAGTATGGAGATCGCAAGCAGAGAGAGAGTACGATCCGCTACCCGGTTCGTACCGCAGCGATCCGGGACTCGCACATGCGCCCCTTGAAGGCGCGAATCACCATCTTCTTTAACACTTTCGAGTCCGCAGGTAGTTCGCGGTGTTCACCGCCTCGGCCCAGAACGTGTCCGGCAACCCCGCGGTTCTTCCTCTCTGCCGTGTCGTTTTGCCATGGGTTATATGGCACCGTTAGGCGCCTGGTGATGTCACGTTTCTTCAGGCGATCCTCGAACTCACGGTTCATGTACTAACGACCGTTGTCGGACTGAATGCACTTCACGGTCCTCCCCTTTTGGTTTTCCACGAGGGCGAGATAATCGGTCCTCGCCTTGAACACCTCTGCCTTGCATCTTAGGAATCTTACCTCGCACGTTCGTGTGCACCAGGTCCAAGAGATCCGACTCCCGGTTTGAGACCTTTGGGAACAGGGTTCTGGTCATTTTACCCTGTAAGTATACATCGCAAATGACACTTTTTGTCGGGTTCATGAGTTTCCGCTGTCCACGCATCGGAAATGTCTCCCGTGGTCGCGTGCTCTATGCGTCGGTGTAGGAGCTCGAGAGTGACGCGGTTGTTTCGCGAACTCGACAATACCCACTCGCTTCGCTCGTCCATTCGCCTACATAGTACGAATCGCCGATCCTCTCCGCGCGTAGCCTTCCCTTCTTTTCGAAAACCCACTTCGAACCTGCGATCAGTCATCTTGCTGACGGACATGAGGTTCGTACACAAGTCGGGCACGTGTAGAGTCTTGCTTAGCGAAACTTCAGTTCTCTCACCGGTCGCGTCCGTCGCGAAATGTGCGATACCCTCGCCCATAGTCACGGTAGTTGTTGCACAGATGCGTGGTAGCCCCGCTGTCCAAACACCGGTGGCGACTTCGATACGTTGGCACTTGCGACGAATACGTTGTTGTAATCGCGTCGCGCGCCATCTTTGTTGGCCACCATGGCGCCGGAAGTGCTGCCGTGTGCGCTCCCCCCGCGCACGTTGCTTCTGCGTGCGTCGCTCTTTTCGGTAATTTTTATGCGGAGGCCCTCTCACGTCGTTAATTCGTTACGTGACTCAATGGCTAATCGAAAAATTTCGAAACTGGCTGGCAGGCTACGCAACAAAAGGATCGTCAAAAGATCTGGGTTGATGTTCTCGTGCACATCGTCTAATTTGTCAACCGAGCCGAAGAAATTCGCCAGGTGTTCACGCACGTCGTCGCCTTCCGCCATTTTGTGCAGTGTCAAGTCTTTCAGCAATGTCCCCTTCCTTGCCGGTCCTTTGGATTGGTAAATTTCCTCCAAAGGCATCTACATTTCTCGCGATGTCTCGCAGTACTGCATTTGCTTCAGCTCGGTGGGTCTAATCGACAGGATAATGTCCGATCTGCTTTAAGGTCATCACGTGTTCGAGCTTTCCGTCTCCGTTTTGAGTTTCTTGCACTTTCCGTAGTCCCATAAGTCGCTCTTGATGAGTACCACAGAACACTCACTAACACTAACACTAACTAATGAGTACCGCCTGCATCTGAAGCCTCCACGTGTCGTAGTTTTCGCTACCGAATTCATCATGGCGGCGTGTTCGCGCACTTTTGTTTCCTTTCACTCGTACCTTTTAAACATACTTTCGCGGTTACGCGTTTCCTGGGCCCATAACCTATTAAAGAACGGTATGGCAAAAGGGACATAAAAGCCTCAGGACTTACATCCTAACATAACACGTCTTAACAGTACGGAGGTCACAAGCCTCTGCTTGCGAGAGAGTACGATCAGCTACCCGGTCCGTACCGCAGCGATCCGGGACTCTTTAACAATTTTACTGATGATAATTTGCAACTATTTTAAATCTCAAATGAGAAGTTATGAAGTGTCTGTAATGTAATAACTTAAGTAAAAACATTCAGAACTTATATATATTTTAGACATTGTTATAAAAAATGAGTGAAGCCTGAATAAGTAATTGTCTGCCATATGTGAAGAACATTTACAGGATTGTGGTTAAAGTGCATTAGAACCATCAGAATTAAAATTCTTAACATGAACTATGTATTCTAGACTTCAGTTTAAAAATTTATTAATAAACCGATACTGCACTAATTACACTCGTAGAAGCAGACTGTGGTGTCGAATGCGATTCGTTTTTTTTTAAACAATTGTCCCAAACAAAATTGGTCATACCAGTTTTAACACTCACAAAGAAACACAACAAATGACCATGAAACCCTTGAAAACCTACTCGGCAACAATACCTGACTGATTTTCCTTTTTTAATTTTTCAAATGCGGTTCCTTTTTTCTTTCAGCGCGAAATTTAAATTTCAATTCAGGACACCACAATATTGATTGTATAAATCTTTTCGAAGTATGGCGAGCAATCTAAACGAAAGCTGAACAAATGGAAAAAGTTGAGCCTATCAAGCATCATGTGTTAGATAACGAAGAAATGAATATTCATGAAACTGACAATAAACAAAATTCCCTTGTGGCTTCTACTAGTTTAGAAAGTTGCATTGCAGAAATTTCTTCAACATTTGTCTCACGTGACAAAATTCTTAATGTTACTCCTTAAGAGAAAAAAATCTCAGAAAAGATAGTAAATATCGTCACCGTTTAAGAGGTGTCTTGTGTTTCCGAAAGGTCAGTGGAATGGATCGATCCCAAAAAGAAGATAATTATTTCCGAGAGTTTGTTGTTTCCACTAAAAATGTAAAGAATATGATAAAATTGATAAGGTTGCCTCTGCGAAGAAGACGAAATCTTCAACTGTTAAGAACGACAAGAAGAAAAACTTCTAGTCCTAGCAATATCGAATCCGCGACCGAATCGAAAGATATTCCTTACTGATTCCTAGCAAAAAGGTTAGGCTAGAATATACGAACATACTCGCACAAGGAACGAAACAAGAATCTTGAATAAAATATGTATATAGAATTTATTTTGTGGACCGACTTGAACATGCATACAAAGACAAAGTTCGTATGAAATAAACACGACATGCATATGGTCAAAATCAAAATAATAATTCGGGAATAAATGTTCAAATTCAGGCTGTAAGAAAATATCCCATTAATATTACTACGATATTAATTTAACCGATGACAAATTTCAAATTTCTTTCTCTCAAAAATGGATTAACTTTTAACATTAGTGTAACTGCCATAAATGAACTATTTTAAATCTCGAATGAGAAGTTATGAAGTGTGGATAAAGAATAACTTAGGTAAAAGCAACCAGAATTTTGGATATCGTTAATAAAATAATAAGTTGACCCTCAATCAGTGAATTTCATTCACCTATTTTGCGTGGACACTTATATTATGTTGTAAATTAATAAAGAATGAAACAGACTTAGACATGACGGGGACCGTGGCGTCGAGTGAGATTTCATCGCGAAATTTAATTTTCAAATCGGGACACCACAGTGCTATTAAACACTTTGCTTACTGACGTATTAGATAACCTATTTTAAAAGTATTTATTATCTTTACAATTAAATTTATTTAAAATCGCGAGAAAATGTATCAATTAGAACTAAATGCTGAGATCAGATAATGTCACATTTACGCACTTCTTGCATATTATAGAATTTGTGGAATCATTTACGTTTACGTACATTGGGACACATTATTTACTTATTATCATCATTTCGTATGTACCTATTACAGATTGTTAAGTTTTTATTACAACCTCAGCCTTTTTTCGATCAATTATTGGACATGTACAATGCTTTGGTTTTTTATTGTCTACACATGTCCTCATACCAAGTGCATTTATCACAACTGATTAGCATGATAAGTAAACAATGGACTTGTTCATAGATTCAGGAACAAGATTTAGATAGCCCGAAAGGGTAATTTACTTTGATTCGATTTGTCATACTATGCATATATAAGCAACAAACGCAAATCAAATCAAACCTAATAAACTTTGTGCCAGCACCATGAAATATTTACTTCTACTTTGCACAGTTGGGCATCTTGTTTGGACTAAACCAAACAGTGAATGTTCCAACCCTCTGGTCGAAACTATCAACTCAAAAAACACCACATGGAAAGCTGGCGTCAATTTTCCAGGTGAAACACCTGCAGAATTTGCGAAAAAGCGATTAGGACTTTTGGGAAACCATCAAGATCCGAATTTTCATCCAGAAAAAAAAGTGCATCCAGTAGGGAGAAAAACTGTAATTCCTCCAAGTTTCGACGCAAGAGACCAATGGCTGGAGTGTAGAGACGTCATTGATAATATTAGAGATCAAGGAAATTGTGTTTCATGTTGGGTAAGATTTTCTTGGAACGGAGAAGTTGAAGATATTGATTTATACATATTTCGTAAATAGGCTTTTGCTGCTGCTGAAGTCATGTCAGACAGACTTTGCATACTGAGCAAAGCCGAACTCAAATTCGAATTTTCTCCACAAGATCTACTATCGTGTTGTCCTCATTGTGGTTATGGTTGTGGTGGTGGATATGCCTTTGCTGCCTGGATTTACTGGCAAGAACGCGGAATTGTATCTGGTGGTGATTATAATACTAACACGGTAAGTTTCTCTATGTGTGCTAAATTCATGCAATAGCATGCTTATTTGGCAGGGATGTAAACCTTACGAAGGTTTGGCTTACCTAAACAACACGACCCCAACATGTAAAACATATTGTACAAACACAAACTACACAATTGCTTATGACAACGATCGTCGTATCGGTGCCAGTTATTTTTCAATGAGTGAAAATATCCAGCAAATACAGTACGAAATTATGACCAATGGACCAATCCAAGCTAGTTACAAGGTTTATGAAGATTTTACGACCTACAAAGAAGGTGTGATATTCATATTCATTAGCAAAAATCGTAGCTAATTATGACGTTTAGGTGTTTATCAATATACTTATGGTGCAGAACTTGGGGGTCACGCTGTGAAGATCATAGGCTGGGGATCAGAAAATGATGTACCTTATTGGTTGGTGGCCAATTCTTGGGGTTCAGACTGGGCAAACTTGAAAGGATATTTTAAAATTAAAAGAGGTTCAAATGAATGCGGTATTGAAGCAAATGTAATTGGTGGCATTCCTTTGTATGATTCTGATCCAACTACGGATCCAGTTACTGATTCTCCAGATGGTACTGGTTCTGCAATGAAAGCAATGTCGTCTGCACTCGTGCTGCTTTTGAATGGGTTTATATTTTTTATTTTATATCAATAAATGTGTGTTTAAAAAAAAACAACTTCGTTCAACTTTTGCAAAATATATATTTTTTTAAAACAGTGTCCTTGTTTTTACTTGAATAAACATGGATATTTTATGTTTTATAACGTTCAGTTTTTTCAGCCATATGCTGCTTTTCAATAATTGCTACTAGATTATGTAAACTTTCATGAGGTAAGGAAGGCAGTTTTCTTCGGTTGCTTCTTCTACCAGAATTCGGCATCGCGGAAGTGATGCTCATTACCGTCCGATCGCCAGCGCTATTGCACAACTTCGAGAATCCTTAATAACAATTGCTACCTTTTCTAGGTTTTCGTCAATTGTACGATTTTATTTTGTTAAACGCCCTTTTATAAGGAAAGGTTCGGTAAAAAGGCTAAAATCATCAAAGATGCAACCAGATATAACGGTTTTCAAACTGGATCAGTTGATAGAATAATTATAAATTTTAAATTTAGAAAATGGGTCACTGAATTATGTATTTTTCAAACAGGAGAGACGTTTTTGACCACAATCTCTTTTGCTCCTTCAGTAACAAATGGGGTGGAAAAAATTGGCAGAGGACTACCAACCCAACGGGTGAAATGCCACTAAACATGCATGGCTGGCCCAGAGATATGGAGAAGGAGAATGAGCTTCCCCATGCGCAGACGAAATCCTTGGTCTAAAATTGAAAGCAGCCATTTTATCAGTTGACTGTTGCCAACATAATCACAAATCACTAACAGAACTTGATATCCCTAGACAATTGCTTCATTATTGGGCGGGAAGTTTAAAATCATTAATTACAATGACCTAATAATAAATCACAACTAAAATATATTTCACCTTAAACGAATAAATAAACATAATTATACTTCAATATATTTATTGATGCGAAAACAGTACTAATTATGTGTACACATGTCTAACAGAAGTGCCTTGAGCAAGACATGAAAGTCTTTTGCTCAAATGAAACATTCTTATTCGCATGTAGGCATTAATTATTTGTTTAATAAGAATATATAAATGGCCTTCATCGATGGCCACCGTCTCGAGTGCGTGGGTCTTCTAAATTAGGAAAAAGAATGCTGGCATGCCGAAAGTTTTAAAAAATTGTTCATCGCTTGGAAGTTTATCGGTGAGTTGCAAAATTTTTCGTATTAACAGTAACAACAAGTCTTCACAACCCCAGCAAAAGGTTTAATAAGCCCACCTAAAATCAAAATTTTGTTAAGACTTAAAAAATAACTATTGTAAGTATTTGATTTTACCCATGTTTTTTTTGTCCAATAATCTGTAAAAGTGTAAGTCACTTCTTCTTGTTTCAATACAAGAAGAAATGCAGTCTGCGCACTTAAACGTCTTCACCACCATTTTGACAACATAGCTACCAATATATGCCACGTTTTCTGCCACTTCACTCAGCCCAATAAACTTAGACGGTCATAGTCATGATCTGCAAGTGCTTCAGTCAAAATATCGAGATCATATTTTTTCAAGACAAACACGTCAACTGATTGTTGAACATTTGTGCTCTTTTGCTTTGGGCCAATGTTAACAGAGAGCAGACAGGTGGTGCAAAGCACTTTACAATTTCCTCCTTCCCTCGTTATGTTTGTAAATAGAAGCAATCTTCTAAGTTTTACAAAATCGTAGAGGAGTAGGGTTATTGTTTCACCCATTTCTCGATCTGAAAACAGAAAAATAAATACAGATTTGTGTAATTCCAGTGCATAAAAAAGTAATACAATTGTTTTTTTAAAAGCTTACCGCACTGAGCAGAAGAAAATTTCTAGATGATCTTGACTACATTTATGTTAGCAAGTCATTCAACCTCTTACTACTAACAAATTCATCAAAAATTCCCATGAACGACGTAGCGGAAATAACAAAGCCCAGAATTGACGTTTTTCGGGGCGTGCACCACAAAGGGCCGCCAGTGACATCCTTCAAATTCAGAAGATACTCACTGGTGTCGATGAGAAATGGACGCCACATTTCTTCATTGTTTTCTCTCAAAGGTGCCTTAAAATTCTTAGCACGTACACTTCGGGAATTGAGAATATCAAATAAAGAATCTATCCTTCTGATGAATTCTATTGTTGTTTCACAACCTTGAAAGTCACTAATACCAAGATCTTTTAAAAATTCAAGTGCATCCGCAACTCTTGCTAAGAGTTTGTGCTGCTAAACTCACCTATAATAGAACTTAATTATTGTCAATAAGGAATATTGTCAGGAAAACAACTTACTTTCATTTTGTTTCCATCACTCCAAATGTGCCTTTTTCAACTTGTTTGCAACATTTAGGAATTCATCATTTTGTAATTCATGTAGTTTCTTTATGTAACGCCAGCTTATCACCTTCCCTCCTGTCAGAACTACTTTTTGAGTTCTTGCTTTTACTTCCACTTGTACTGCTACTGCTTTTTCCATGGTATCTCTGCGCAGCACTAAATAATAATTATTAACAGTAGTAAAAAATTCAATATAATAAAATATTCAAACCTTAATGTCCTCTTTACACCTTGAGGTATAATCGATGGAGACTCTTCTCAAATATCAGCTGAAGTAGCACTCACAGTACTCATTGAAGTTGAAGAAGCTTCTAGACTTTCATCTAAATTCACACTGGGAATTGCGTTCGATTTCAATCGTTTTCACTCATTTACAACAATGAAATCAGTTGTTGTGAAATGATCTGAGCACACCAGCTTATACTTAGTCAGTTTGAAGCTGTCATCTTTTTTCACAACAATCAGCCACTTTTTTAAAAGTTTTCGATCTTTCGGAAACCTAAAATCAGATATAATAAATATTGATCACATAGTATTGCAATAACCAATTGTTATTAATTATAACTATCTACGTATTCGATTTTAATAAGATAATGAAGAAAACTTACTGATGAAAAGATACACCTTCTGAACGAAATCGTTGACAATTTTTACAGTGAGAAACTGTACAAGACATGTTTGTTGTCAATAATAATGTCCTTTAACACTAACAAGCACGTTCACACGTACACTAACGGTAAAACAAATTAAGTAATAATTTTAACTCCAAATTACAACTGGTTCAACAACGTCGTAACCTCGTAGGTAAACAAAACTTTAAGGTTAACTGATAAAATGGCGGCCCCCATAGTGTACCGATGCGCAGAAGTCGAAGCTCATTCTCCTTCTCCATATCTCTGGGCTGGCCCACTGCCTCCTCTACTTAACAAGCCGTGTTGTGCGAAATACGGCAACACTGTGCGGCGGCTGGTCAACCTGTTCAACCTGTTACATCTGTGCCGGTGTGTAGCAGTGCAAAAGTGTTTATCTGGTTTTATTTATTATCAAATTTTAACTAGTAGTGAACTTTTGGAATTAACTTGTGAAAATATTAATTTTTAGGAATAACGGAAATTTCAAACGGTAAAGTGTAGCGTAAAGTAATTTGCTAATTGTTCAAAATAACCTCAATTTTAGATGCCGCGTAAATGTTGTGTTCCTGGTTGTAATTCCAATTACGACAGTGAAATAAAAAAGGGAGGTCCAGTTGTATCAGCCTTTAGATTTCCAAAAGATGAAGAGAGAAAAAAGTTGTGGCTTTTAGCTATTCCCCGCAAAGATTTTTCACCCACTGCAAATAGTGTTGTCTGCATGAAACACTTTTCTGAAGACGATATAATTCGCTATGACCTGTACAAAACAAAGGACGGAACTACACAACAATTGCTATTAATGTGCCCCAAGTTAAAAGAAGATGCACTCCCAAGAATTTTTCCAAATCTGCCGAAGTATCTGACTAAAGAAAAGAGTGTTGTCAGGAACGACCCTCAAGAAAGAAAAAAAAAAGTTTTCAACAGAACCGCTGCAGCAATTGACAACTTTTTAAAAGCAGACATTATTCAAAGTTTTGAAAATGTAAAAAATGACTTTGCTTCGAAAGTTGAAAGTGTTTCTAAGTGGCATGTGATAATGAAGAACAGTGAATTATTTTTTTATACTTTAAGTGTTGATTATGACAATGGAAGTGATGAAGGTGAACATCTTTATATAGTTAATAGCGTTAAATTGGACCAGAATATGAGATTGAAAGTGGTGATAAAAGGTAACGAATTGTCATCTCATGAATTAAAGTGGATTCTTCCATATGATTTAAAACTAAGTCGATGGTCCCAATTGAAAAATATATTAAGCAGGTACCATAAGTTTGAAGAAATTAATTGTAAATCTGATCAGTCTCAGTTTGAATTATACTTACAGAAATGTAGGAACTATCTAGAGAAATGTTGCGAAATGGCAGAAATTCATGATTATGAACACAAAAGACAACTAGAGATTGTTTTTGATCAAGTGTCACAATTAACATTAAAAAAGCGTAGATATTCACCAGCCACAATCTTGTTTTCGTTTATTATGTTTTCATATTCTCCTTCGGCCTATAAGTTTTTGCGAAGTTATTTGCTGCTACCCCACAAACGCTATTTGCAAATGTTATCGTCATCATTTAACATTAGTCCTGATAACGAAAGCAATAAAACAAAATATTACTTTTCCTGTGCGGCTTTAGCTCGGCTCGGCATCGACGTATGCGGCCGGCCTCCGTATCGGTTCCTAGGCGCTGTTGCCAGTTCGTACAGCACGGCTTGTTAGTAAAGGAGGCAGTGGCTGGCCACATTATTGAATGATTTTTTTTTATTTTTCAAATATGCTTTCAATGCATTAATTTTGCTCGGCGCGAAATTTAAATTTTCAAACCAGGACACCACAGTAGGATGGATTATTGTATTACTGTGTACGTTTCAAAGGCAATGGCATTTGGTCATGACGTTATCAATTTTTAATAGAGAGAAATAAGTAAATATTGTACTGTTTCACTTGGTATCAATGAATTTTGCTTGAAATTGGTAGACTTGTTACTCCACCTTACTTCCTGATAATTCTAAAAATAAGAGTGCATAAGCATGATACTTGCAAGTTTCAAATAAGATTTACTCAATAAAATTTTGACCTGATGTCATAAGGATTTGGAAAGGATAGATAGATGAATTATTCTATTTGAAAACATTCTACGTAGGACTGACGTATTTAGTATCAATTTTTCCGCATTTACAATCTTACTAATTTCTGAGAACATATTACACATGTGACATACTTGTAATACTCCTTGGACTTTATATGTTTTGCACCTGCATTATCAGCACTGATTAGCGAGATAAGTAAACGATGGGCTCGTTTATAAATTCAGAAACAAGATTTAGATAACTAAACCAAAGATTATTCCTATGATTAAATTTGCTATATAACGATCGACAAGTTGGATCAGATGTAGTAGAAATTTTTGTTAACACCATGAAACACCTATTGCTACTTTGTACAATTGCTCCCCTTGTTTGGGCTAAACCCAGCAGTGAATCTTCCAACCGTCTAGTCGATACTATCAACTCAAAAAAGACCACTTGGACAGCTGGTGTTAATTTCCCCGGTGAAACACCTGAAGAATTTGCGAAAAAACGATTGGGATTTTTGGGAAACCATCCAGATCCTAATTTTCGTGTAGCAAAAAAAGTGCACAAAATAGGGAGGACAGCAATTCCTGAAAGTTTCGATGCTCGAGATCAGTGGCCGCAGTGTAAAGATGTTATTGATAATATCAGGGATCAAGGAAATTGTGGGTCCTGTTGGGTAAGATTGTCTTAGGAAATAGAACTTAAGGATGTTGATTTATATCTTGTGAATAGGCTTTTGCTCCTGCGGAGGTCATGTCAGATAGACTATGTATAGAGAGCAAAGGCGAGACAAAATTCGAATTTTCTCCACAAGATGTACTGTCGTGTTGCGACTACTGTGGTTATGGTTGTGATGGTGGATATACCGCTACAGCCTGGATTTATTGGTTAGGTCATGGAATTGTATCTGGTGGTGATTATAACACTAGCGTTGTAAGTTCTTCTAAATATGTTAAATTTAGACCATAACAAGCTTATTTTCCAGGGATGTAAACCATATGAAGGGTTGGCTTTCCTAAACCATAAGACACCATCATGTAAAACAACTTGTACAAATGCTAACTACAAAACTACTTATGAGGACGATCGTTTTACTGGTTTCACTTACTATTCGCTAGACAAAAGTGTCGAACAAATACAAACTGACATTATGACCAATGGACCAATCCAAGCTAGTTACAGGGTTTTTGAAGACTTCATGACGTACGAAGAAGGTATGATATTCAAATTCATTATCAAAACAGTAGTTAATTATGAAATTTAGGTGTTTACCAGTACACTGAAGGTAAGGAACTTGGTGGTCACGCTGTGAAGATTATAGGCTGGGGATCAGAAAACAATGTACCTTACTGGCTTGTGGCCAATTCTTGGGGTTCAGAATGGGCAAACTTGAAAGGATATTTTAAAATCAGAAGAGGAACAAACGAATGCGGTATTGAAGCCGGTGTACTTGCTGGTATAGCTCTGAATAATTTTGATCCACCAGATGATACTGGCTCAGCAATTAAAGCAGTTTCGTCTGGACTAGGGTGACCATTTTCTTCTGAGTCCAACGCGGGACAAAATAATAATAATAGTAACAATAATAAAACAAAAATATCTTGAACACAATTTTTAATAAGAATAAAATATATATTATAAAAAAATCAGAAATAAAAACAATAAAAAATTTATTTGTATTTTTCAATAGAGTGAACTTGTTTTAAAAGTTCGAGATTGTTTTCAATTTGCATCCTGAATTGCTCACAAGAGTTGGCACTGTTGCACCTTGTTATTAATTCAGCTTTTAATGTATCAAGTTGCAGCTGTGACTTCTTAGCAGTCCACAAATTGTTAATGATTGAAAAAACCCGCTCCGTTGCTGCATTTGTGCCTAGTAGGCACAAACACAATTGGACATTTTTTTTAGGTATTCACAAGGAACATGGTTATTCGAAAAATGATCGAAAATTTCGATCCATTTTTGATCGACTTCAACTTCAGAGTTGGCCCAGTCTAAAATCTTTGTGTCCGTTACGTAGGCCTTTAAATAGGACACTTCATCAAATAAATCGTTTTCAAGTGATGAATTTTTTGTTTCCCCAAGATTCTTCATTTTGATGGCATAGTCAAGAGTTGCTTCCACATCTCTCCAATTTACTTGTTTCTTTAACTCTATCCATTTAAAATGCTGAGTTTCATTAAACTGCGTTTGCATTGTTTCCAAATATTGGACGCAATTTTCATAAAAATTTGCGCCCTCTGAACTCGAAGTATGGTACTAAAGCAGCAAATGAATGTTTTATTATTATTATACTGGGTGTTAACAACCTCTAGTTGGAGAAAATTCCGAAAATCAGAGAATGCGGGACAAATGCGGGACATTTCACTCCGCAGGACAGTTTGTTAAAATGCGGGACTGCCCCGCGAAATGCGGGACGAATGGTCACCCTAGTCTGGACTTGTGTTACTTTTGAGTGGATTATTGTTCTTTATATTAGTTGAGTAATTGTTGACCTGTTTGTTTGAAAAAGCGATTTCTGTGAAGTTCTGTAACAATTTATTTTGTTATAGCGTTGATTTATTAACCTATTAAGACTGAATTTTTACATTTCCTAAATTTTTGTTTTTTCGCAATCCTAATACCCTTTTCTCCACTTCAACTGCTTCTTCTATTCCCATGTTTTTTAACTACTTAAAAAATATTTCATGTTTCGTCATTAGCTTTAAAACATATTTTCTACATACACCATACAGTAGCGAAACTGAAAAAAACATAGTGCGGAAGAAGGTAGTAAAGTGATAAATAAACTGCATTGCTATAATGGAATAAACACATAGCAAAGAAAAGTACTGACAAGGTACGACGGCAAAGTTTATACCTTAAGAGAAAGAGAAATTAAATTTAGTGGAAATGGGCTATATTAAGATGAAGTGCTGGGATATCAGATGTGGAGAAAAAGTAAAAAATGAAAGCATAATAAATAAGACGAAAATTTAGGACACTGTAATGGATACAATCCCAGAAAGAGACATTCTTATTATTGCATACATATTTTTAACGTTTTTAACAGTGCACCTTGTCTAGGTGAAGTGGATGATTCGATTATGCGATTAATTTGTAATAATATACAGATTTCTTATCTTCGTTAAAAATAAAATTATTTACTGTTTGTTTAATTTTCTGATATTTATAGATTTTGTTGATTCATTATATTGTGGTTCTGCCAAAATCATGGATTGTGGATTGAATTGAGTATCTTTTTCCTTTCTGAATGTAAGCTAAGGAAGTATTGTAATCGAGTCCATTGAACGACTGGCGTTTTATTAACCCCAGAGTACGAAAAAATAGGTTCCCCGATTCCGTCTGTCTGCCTCTCTGCCGTCAGTCCGGATAATCTCTGGAACTACTAAACCATTTGTCAAATTTTATATGCTTATTACGAATATCGTGTAGATGGTAAAACGCTAATCAAAATTTGGCTAATCATGCCCACCAACAATAGCATGACGTCATCTCCAAAATTTACGTTACTAAATACACTGACCGGCAAAAAAAAAACCGGCCACCCTCAAAAATTTCGCAAAACCAAATTTAAAAAATTATTAATTTAACTAGTGATCGTTATTTTATTAAAGAACCATTCACTAGTGATACATGATGTATAAATTAGCCAAAAAAAGAAGACAAATAAACGCAGAATTAAATTTAATTTTCTATGCACCGTATTGCAGACTGCTTTGAAGTCAATAAAGATAAAAAAGGCTGGGACTTCACATTCACAACAGGTAGTCGGAGTCTGTTTTAGGTGAAAATTTCTTGATATTCTCCTAAAATTTTATCTGTTTCTATTTCCAGTCTTTTTTTGATCGACGCTGATAACACTTCATGCGTCACATCTATCAGAACTATTCCCCTGTAGCTGCCGCAGTCTACCGCATCGCCTTTATTGTAGTCGGTCTTAACGTTGCTTTTTGCAAGTTCTGGGTATCTTTTCGGCTTTCCAGATTTCTTGTATCAGTTTTGCCACTTCCTGTATCAGTGCTGTCCTTCCGTGCTTAAGATTTTTTTTATTTCTTGCTCCTTAGGTTCTTCTATCTTAGTTAGATTTTCTATTTCTTCCTGTTCTTCAGCTGTCTCATTTATATTTCTCTTAAGTGCTTCTGCGTAACTCCCGGAAGTGATCTGTCTACCTGTGTTCCTGTTCTTTCTTTATCTTTGACGTAAATTCCTTTTGATTTGTATTCTCTTTCTACTTCTCTTTGTTCGAATTTCTGTTCTCTGAACAATTTCTTTGCTAATGTCTTCTGTTCTACGTGTTTTGCTATATTCTACTCCTTCCCTTTTTAATCCATTCCTTAGAGGGTTTATGTCTGCTCCACGGTAAGATCTTACATTTTTTTACTATTCTATTTTATTTTATCCTCAGAGTAAACCACGTTTCTTTGTAAATAGTTTTTCGTCTGAAATGAGTACTCATATTCGTCATATTAGTTTCTATTGCTAAATGCATTAATCTTGTATCGTTGTCATTATTTATCTCGTGACGTGTTTAGTACCAACTTTTACGCATATACTGTCTTTACGGTGAATTCTATTATAGTTATTTATGTATTAAGGGCATAATCAGGGAGATTGTGGCACGAGGGAATGTTTAAAGCCCGACGAAGGAGGGCTTTTAATTTCCTGAGTGCCACAATCGACAATTATGCACGTGGTACATACAACGTTTTATTCTATTTTAGTTTATAAACTATTTTTAACGAAATATTGAGTATTTTCGGCAAGACTGTGTGAATTGTGCCGATGCGAATTTTAATACATAGCTGGCTATTATTTTGATGTTGTTATGGATACCACGTTGATTATTTGATAATTCGTTTTTCAAAATGTAAATTAAAGAAGCGGAAAACGTTTATTCAAACGAAAGTTTAGAAGAATTTGAAGTCGGTCAGGTAATGATTTGATAAAATATTGTTTTTCCAACTTAAGAAAAACGTTGAATATCGAAGCGTGTTTGAATAATTAATTGATTAGAGTAAATGAACAATCAATTGTTGCTTAGCAATTTTTGACAGATTTGTGCTAAAAAGGCCAATTTAAGCCCGCATTTGGGTGCTTATAAATAAGATTATGGTTCTAAAATAGAATAAAATAATTTTAACGAGAAAACTTATCGATAAGAACTTCATTCTTGGTAGATTACGTCATAGATACTCAGTTCCGATATACTAGTATAGAATTTTGGAATCGTAATTACAAATTGTAAGGAGTAGCTGGTGACATATATACAAATAGAGTATGTGAAATTTATGTCTTATTATTTATTTATTTACTATCTATTAGTATAAGTTGTAGCATTGTTCAGATTTTTTTTGCACATATCATCAGCCAAGTGTATTTATCAGAACCGATTAGCACGATAAGTAAAAGATGAATCTGTTAATAGATTTAGGAACTAGATTTAGATAACTAATCCGACGATTATTACTTTCATTAAATTTAGTATATAATGAACATCAAGTCAGATCAAACGTGGTAAAAATTACTATTAGCACCATGAAGCACCTATTGTTACTTTGTACAGTTGCTCACCTTGTTTGGGCTAAACCCAGCAGAGAATCTCCCAATCGTCTCGTTGAAACTATCAACTCAAAAAAGACCACGTGGAAGGCTGGCGTTAATTTCCCGGGTGAAACACCTGAAGAATTTGCAAAAAAACACCTGGGATTTTTGGGAAACCATCAAGATCCCAATTTTCGTGTAGCAAAAAAAGTGCACAAAATAGGGAAGACAACAATTCCTGAAAGTTTTGATGCTAGAGAGCAGTGGCCGGAGTGTAAAGATGTTATTGGTAATATCCGGGATCAAGGAAATTGTGGATCCTGTTGGGTAAGTAAGTCTTAGAAAATAGAATTTAAGGATGTTAATTTATGTCTTGTAAATAGGCTTTTGCTACTACGGAGGTCATGTCAGATAGACTCTGTATAGCGAGTAAAGGTGAAATAAAATTCGAATTTTCTCCACAAGATTTACTGTCGTGTTGCAACTACTGTGGTAATGGTTGTGATGGTGGATATACCGCTAGAGCCTGGATTTATTGGATAGGCCATGGAATTGTATCTGGTGGTGACTATAACACTAACATTGTAAGTTCTTCTTCAGTAGGTTAAATTTAAAAAGTAACACACTTGTTTTCTAGGGATGTAAACCCTACGAAGCTTTGGCGTTCCTCAACCATACGACACCATCATGTAAAACAACTTGTACAAATGACAATTATAAAACTGCTTACGAGGACGATCGTTTTAATGGCGTTACTTATTATTCGTTGGACGTAAGTGTCGAACAAATGCAAACTGACATTATGACCTATGGACCAATCCAAGCTAGTTATAGGGTTTTCGAAGACTTCGTGACCTACAAAGAAGGTATGATATTCAAATTAATTATCAAGAACTGTAGTTAACTATGAAGTTTAGGTGTTTACCAGTACACTGAAGGTGAGGAACTTGGTGGTCACGCTGTGAAGATTATAGGCTGGGGATCAGAAAATAATGTGCCTTACTGGCTTGTGGCCAATTCGTGGGGTTCACATTGGGCAAACTTGAAAGGATATTTTAAAATTAGAAGAGGTACAGATGAATGTGGTATTGAAGGCAATGTATACGGTGGTATAGCTTTACGTGATAATCACTACGCGGGATTCTATCTCACCGGTGCAATTCCCCAGTTGAAGTAAGGTGTGTTTTACGGCGAGTAGCGGGAACGCTTTGATCTGGTCCACAAGGTCGTAGCCAGTGCGTCGCTAGAAGTGTTTACAGCTTGTTAAAAAACTACTTCTATATTACTATATTATTTCAAATAATAATACTCGATGCCCTTTTTAATTTTTTCACCCACAGGACCACAGATTGGTGATCTTGAAATGTTATATTATGTTGATATAGTCCAAAAGAAAAGTATATTTGTAATCAAAGTCTCGCCGTGACAGCACTGGATCTAGCGTATGAGATACAATTCCGCGCATTGGTGATAATTCTGACCCACCAGGAGATACTGGATCAGCAATTAACGTAGTTTCGTCTGGACTGGGGCTACTTTTGAGCGGGTTAATGTTTTTTATGTTATTTGAATAATGAAGTGACACGTTTGTTTGAAACAAAATCTCGTTGAACTTTTGTAAAATATTTTGTTTTTAAAATGTTTATTTTTCACCTGAATAAAGATCCATGTTTTATACGTTGTAACTTCAGCTTTTTAAACAGTAAAGAAAATTTCGCAATCCCCCAGTACATTACCGTCGTTTCTTTTTAAATAAGCAGTTCTACTTTAACCAGTTCTTCTATTCCGAATAATGTCTTTCATTTTATATTTTACCAGTAACGTTAGTAAACATTTCCTGCACAGTAAAATATTTTCTGTTTAATTCTGAATACCTCTGAGAAGCTAAGTCTTACCTCGTGAAAAGACTTGACTCTTGAATACACCAACAAGCGTAATTAATTATTAATGTAACGTAAATTCTTTGTTTAAAATTGTTAATAAAGTGTGACATAATTTAACATCATGTAAATTCTTTGTTTGTTGAAATTCTCAAGTGTACCGTTTAAGTAATTTTCATACCCATTCAGTCATCGTTATAAATTCGAGAGAGACAGGATTTGAACTCGACTGAAATAAAAGGATACAAATTCGTGTGGCGAACGGAAAAATGCAATAACGGCCTATGGCAAAACTGAGACAAACAAAAGATATAACGAATACAGAAATGTAGTATAGAAATTAATTAAACAAGAAAAGAAAAAACGCGGACACAATTTGAAGAAAAACTGGAACAAAATAGCAGAGGAAAGGTACTAAAGAAGAGAGAAAAGGAAGAACCCAAAAAAATAACAAAATCTTAAACAAGGAATATATATTTTATTCTATTTATTATTTATTAGCAACTACAGTAATTTAAAATTCCTGCAGAATGTTTTGGGAATATAGATATAAACAGTTCTCAGTGTAAACGATTTTATTTTATTAAAATCAACTTTTTGTTGACGTAAAGAACCTATATTTTAGACAAAATAGATTAGTATATCTAGGAATCAACTTGACTCTAAAAGTGCTTATCGTCAATAAACACGTAACAATAAGTATCTAAACATTAATTTCCAATTATCAACTTCCGGTTTAAAGATTAGTAACAAAACTAATTAAAAAAACAGAATTAAGAGATAACAAATGTTTCTGAAAACTCTCTGAGCTTTCGTCAACAATGTTTGTAAGCTGGTCATTGCATCTATAGACATCTTAAAGTAAGCTGTCCAAAATTATACAAAGCGTTGTTGATTGAGTTAGTAAAACTAATTCTTCAATTATTAATTTTTTGAGACATCTGTAGAAAACGTTCTAAAAAAAAAACAGTGCATTAAGAAGTTATTTATATTCAGACATCTATTCTGCACTTGGCAAAATTTTGCAATGACGTCATCAAGTGCCTAGAAGTGTTTCACAGAGAAAATTGGTCCTTAAAGCTTGCTTCTAATAAGATTTGTAAAATTCGTCACAGTACTTGCTTAGCTTGCCATTGAGTAATAAAAATCAAAATTTTATTGAATACTGATCCTAAGCACACTTCGATTTTTTTGTATAATTTGATTGTGATAACTAAATTTTATTATCTGTTTAGATTAGATATGGTACATTATAACAAAAGTCAGACTGTCACTACTCCATGACTCTGGCAACATGATTAAACACATACTCATTCTCTGTGCTTTTCGAATTATTTTAGTAAATTCCAATACCATTTCTTCCAAAAGATTGATAGAAATTATCAATTCACAAAATTCAACATGGAGAGCAGGTCTCAATTTTCCCGAAGAAACACATACAAATCATGTAAAACAACGATTGGGATTTTTGAAAAATCATCCTGATCCAAATTTTCAACCTGAAAGGAGAATCCACAATACCGTCGCAAAAATTCTTCCTAAAACTTTTGACGTTCGAGATAAATGGCCTAAGTGTAGTGAAATCATCGGCCACATTAGGGACCAAGGAAACTATGGCTCTTCTTGGGTAAGAATTTAACTTTGTCACTTTAATAAACTTTGTTACATTTTATACAGGCTTTTGCCCCTGTTGAAGTCATGTCGGATAGACTGTGCATTCAGAGTAATGGTCGTGTAAAGTTTGAATTCTCTGCTGAAGATCTAATGTCTTGTTGCTCCTGCCAACTTGATGAATCGGAGAATCGTGCTGATGGTTACTTAGATCTAGCTTGGGAACACTGGAAAGTGCACGGAATTGTTTCTGGAGGTGATTACAATAGCGATAAAGTAAGTTGTAAGCTTTCTATAAAAAGTGTATGAGTGTAAACTAGAACAATAATTTTACAGGGATGCAAACCCTTTGGAGCGTTAGTGTACCTAAACAACACTATTCCGGAATGTCAGAATTCATGTACAAATTTAGACTACGAGACTTCTTACAATGATGATCTTCATTTTGGATTAAACTATTACTACCTTGAAGAAGGAAATATTACTGCAATTCAACTTGCACTGACAACTCAGGGGCCAGTTCAAGTAAAATTTACGGTTTATGAAGATTTTCCATATTACAAAGAAGGTATACTTTAATGTAAATAGCAGTTAATCTAACGCAAAGATAGGTGTTTATCAGCACTCTTATGGCGAGGAAATTGGTGGTCTCTACCTTAAGATTATAGGATGGGGTGTTGAGAATAGTGTACCCTATTGGTTAGTAGCGAATTCTTGGGGAACAAGTTGGGGAAGCTTGAATGGATTCGTAAAAATAAGGAGGGGTTTCAATGAAGGTGGTATCGAAAGTGACGCCGTTGTTTGTGAAGCCGATTATGAAGCTCCCATAACTACACCTACTACTACTAGTCCTACTACAACTACGACTGATACACCCGGAGGGCATGGAACGGCGATTCAAATTGCTCCTGTTTTACTTTTGCTAATTCATTTTGTGTTCATACTTAACGTCTTTCCATTTAACAAGATAATGTAAATTCATATTTTTTAAATATCATCTCCAGCTGTCTGAGTTCGCTCTTGCGATTTATCATACTGTATACTATAGAAAAAAATTTAAGTACCTGAATTCTTTTATGTGAGAAAAGTAAAATATAAGAAACTTTTTGTTTACTGATTTGATTCTGAGCTGATCTTAGGTGAAAAAATTGATCTTATGTATGTTATCACTTATTTCAAAGAACTTGCCTCCCCCCTGAAGTACAATTAAATAAATCCAGTTGTTTAGAAAAAACAATGTAGATAATACCAACGCAGCATAAGAAAAAACTTGTAGATATTATTTTTCTGAATTCATACTCCATACTGCGCCATTACTTTTGATTCAAACGCATTATATTACGAAAATACACTCTCTTCTTGATTTAATCAATGAAAAAAACTGGAAAAGCCGAATAGAGCAATGGACTCTTCATCTGCAAAACAGAACTCTAACTTCAGTTTTCTTCAAAATTCAGCGGAAATTCATACAGCGACTCGAGGTGGAAAATTTCAGCAGTTTACAACAGTATCAGGGCAGAGAGCAACTTAGAACTCGACTGAAATTCGCTTTCGGTGCTTCTGCTTTTATAGACTTTTAGTCCATTTATTACGTCTCCCGTGACATTATTATGTAATAAAAAGGTGCTTTTATGGCTGCGCTGTGAGCGCGCTTTAAACCGTATTTCGCCATTTTATAATGTCCAATTTCGCCTTGCATTGAATTTCTTCTGGGTCGTAAAACCGGATGTACGCGAGTTCGGATCAAGTTAACTTGTACTTTTTTTAGCTTGGATTTATTTTCTTCATTGCGTCCGCCTGAGCCACTTTGGTTAGTAAAGGGGGAGTTCTTTGTTCCGTTTGTTCTTGAGATTTGTATCTTTGTTTTAGTTTGGGTTTGAATTTTAATGAAAGTAGTTGAGATTGGCGGTTTTTATTGATGTGTGATTCTGCCAATGTTGTTCGCAAATTTGGACATGCGTGTTGGGTAATTGAGATTTGCAAATGTGTGAATTTTGTTCTTGTCTTTCGTCTTCCACTTCGCTTCGTCCTTTGCAGAGGCGAGGTTTATCGGAACTTTGTCACACACAGATTTTTTAAAGATATCATGCTTTATGGTTGGTTCTCACTAATGGACTGTATTAGTTAGTAACAAGAACATAATCTTCACGGTCACTCTTTCTAAATGATAACTATCATAATGATAAAGCTCAGGTTGGTTTACCTCCATAACAATGACACTGTTGAGAATTTCTTACAGATAATGACTAAAGTGGTTAAAAAGATAAGGCATGAAATACCTCTATATCGCAACCATTCAAAAACCGAAATTTATCATTAGTCTGCCATAGAATATCATCCCGTGAATGTGAAGTTATATACCGCAGGTTAGACAATGCATTGTGTAAAAGCTCTGTACTTAACAGCGGTTTATGCTATGTTCATCGGAAATCTATACGCTGATGAGATCATTCCTGAAAACTTCGATGCAAGAGAAAAGTGGCCTGAGTGTAAATCCATAGGAAAAATCAGAGATGGAGGAAACTGTCCTGCTAACTGGGCATTTGCTGCTGTGTCAACCATGAGTGACAGATTATGCATTCAAACCGGGGGAACGGTTCAATTTGAATTTTCCCCTCAAGACTTACTATCCTGTTGTACAGATTGTAGTACTACTTGTGATTATACTGACACTGTTAAGTCTATCAATGTTTCCTTTAATGCAATGCATTACTGGATACATTCCGGAATAGTTTCTGGTGGAGACTACGGTTCGTCGACGGTTATTTCTCCCACTTTTATTAGTATTACCAACACACAACTGTTACAATTTTTAGGGTTGTATGCCTTACAGTAAAGACACTGCTTTAACCCAGGAAATCCCGGCATGCCAAAACCAATGTCAAAGCGGTTATGGCAAATCATACAATGACGACAAAAAGTTTGGTCGTAGTTATACATTTCTTTCAAACGAAACAGAAATGCAAAACGAAATCATGACAAATGGACCACTAATGGCTGGATTTATTCTTTACGATGATTTTTTGGAATATAAAGATGGTATTTTGAAATAAAATTTTGATAGGTTAATAAATTAATTTTATGCAGGTGTGTACACCCAGGAACTATTCTCGACATATTTGGGTTATATATACGGGAAAATTTTGGGATGGGGCGAAGAAAATCGTACTCGGTATTGGTTGGTAGCTAATTCTTGGGGTAATGAATGGGGGTTGAATGGATACGTTAAATTTTTGAGAGGCTCTAACCATTTGCTAATTGAACACAATGTTTTTGTAATGACACCAAGTGATGCTTCTGCTTTATCTATCTCACTGTATATTATTATTTTAAATGTATGTTTACTTTTTCGCTTTTATACTTAAATATTAAATTAAAAAAATAAATAATAATAGTACATAAATGAGGTTTTTTAATTTACTGAATGTTAAGCCATCACGGTTGCCAAACGAGAATGTAGAAAAATAAAATTTTGTGATCAACTGATTACACGTGTTAGTCGAGTATGTTGTCACTGTTTTTAATGTATATGCTTTTATACCGAAAGTGATAAACTCGGAACTCTTGTGATAATTCCACATAATCTCAAACTATAGGTGCGTAACAATTTTCTATTAACTACCTTAACGATTGACATTAGATTAAAACTTTCTATATAAACTACGTCGGAAAAGTAAATCCTCACTGCACGTTAATAGCTTGCTGTGATAACACCATGAAATATTTATCACTTATCTGTGTACTTCAAGTAATCTCGGCAAAATCTGGCACCGTTCCCTCTCATTCCCTAATAGAAATCGTCAACTCACAAAATGCGTCATGGAAAGCAGGCCTTAATTTTCCCGAAAAAACACACAGAGAAGATCTGAGACAACGACTTGGCTTTCTAGAAAAACATCCAGATCCTAATTTTCGTCCTGAAGTGAAAGTCCACAAACTGTATGGCATATCAATTCCCGAATTCTTTGATGCTAGAGATCAGTGGCCAAATTGTAAAGATATTATCGGCCACATTAGAGACCAAGGAAAATGTGCTTGTTCCTGGGTAAGAATTTTTTTTAATTATAATCTCGTATAGACGTTCTATATATTTCAGGCGTTTGCTGCTGTTGAAGTGATGTCAGATCGATTACACTATGCAACACTAAAAAATTCACAGAAAGTTCAGATAGTGTTTGAGGTTGGGTATACTCCATATACTAAAGAAAAAAATGTTTTATACTCATATCACATCACAAAACATAGATAACGGGTGTTTTGTTTTTCGTACTTTTTGAGACACTTGATTGCATTTAATTGTAAACATATCGCTTTTATGTATCCACCCATGCTTGCAGACTTCTGTTGGTGTCTTCAGAGGATACTGCGAGATCTGGCTACAATAGGAATGGCAATCGTTCGAAAAAAAAGACCTTTTTCAATGAAAAATGAAGTATTGTTTTATTAATTTTGTATGATTTCAAAAAATTCAATAAACACTTTTCATTTTGAAACCCGATGTGATAGGTTGGGTACCTATACTCCATATACTAAAGAAAAAAATGTTTTATGCCCATATCACATCACAAAATATAGATAACGGGTGTTTTGTTTTTATTACTTTTTGGGACACTTGATTGCAGTTAATCGTAAAAATATCGCTTTTATGTATCCACCCATGCTTGTAGACTTCTGTTGGTGTCTTCAGAGGGATACTGTGAGATCTGGCTACAATAGGAATGCCAATCGTTCGAAAAAAAAGACATTTTTCAATGAAAAATGAAGTATTGTTTTATTAATTTTGTATGATTTCAAAAAATTCAATAAACACTTGTCATTTTGAAACCTGATGTGATAGGTTGGGTACCTATACTCCATATACTAAAGAAAAAAATGTTTTATACCCATATCACATCAGAAAACATAGATAACGGGTGTTTTGTTTTTCGTACTTTTTGGGACACTTGATTGTAGTTAATCGTAAAAATATCGCTTTTATGTATCCACCCATGCTTGCAGACTTCTGTTGGTGTCTTCAGAGGAATACTGTGAGATCTGGCTACAATAGGAATGCCAATCGTTCAAAAAAACAGACCTTTTTCAATGAAAAATGAAGTTTTGTTTTATTGATTTTGTACGATTTCAAAAAATTCAATAAACACTGTTCATTTTGAAACCTGATGTGATACGATTCTTTCAAGCATAATCCTCAATTGAGTTTGAGGTAAGAAATTTTAACTACATACTGTGCATTCTGTGAATTTTATTTTTTTTTAATTTGTTGCATAGTGTTATGTATTCAGAATAACGGTACTATAAAGTTCGAATTTTCGGCTGAAGATCTTATGTCTTGTTGTTCGTTCTGTGGTCGTGGTTGTGGCCAAGGATACATGTATTCTGCGTGGATATACTGGATGGCATACGGACTTGTGTCTGGTGGCGACTACAACAGCAACGAAGTAAGCCGTTCATAAGATCGTTAATTAAATGCCACAAACGTGGTCTTACAGGGTTGCAAACCTTATGGCTCGTCAGCATACGTCAACAGTATCGCCCCCGAATGTACACATTCATGTACAAATCAAAATTATGAAAACTCTTACGAGGAGGATCTCTTGTTAGTAGACAATTACTACAATATTCCGGACGGAAATGTGTGTGGCACAATTGCAGCGCGAGCTCATGCTTAATGGACCAATTGAAGTTATTTTCACAGTTTACGAAGATTTATCTTACTACAAAGAAGGTACGTTTAAAGAAATCAGATAAAATGTGTTTAATGTTATGTACATAACATGTAGGTGTTTATCAGCACGTTTCTGGCGAAGATTTTGGTTTTTTTGCTGTCAAGATCATAGGATGGGGTACTGAGGGTGGCGTACCTTACTGGTTAGTAGCGAATTCTTGGGGAACAAGCTGGGGAAATTTAAATGGATACTTTAAGATCGTACGAGGTACGAATGAATGTGGTATAGAAAATGGTACTGTTGCTGGTACGTTTCGAAATGTTGCTCCCACCACCACTACTACTACAGATTCTCCGGGAGGTCACGTATCGACAATTCAAAGTTCGTTTGGAATCACTTTGCTTATGAGTGGTTTATTGTTCTTTAGTATATTTAATTGACGTCTGCTTGCAAAATCAATTGTTCAATTCTCAGATTTATCAAACTCGAAATTGCAAAAGTAAAATGTATCCTGTAATGATGATGACTTAGAAAAAATATATGCATAATGAAAGCACTGGGTACTTTTATTGGATTTTTCTTCACGTTTCACGGCTTATAGAATATGAACAAGTAAGCCGAAATAATATTATTTTTATTTTGGTTATTAATATTCCTTTATTTTTTACCGTAGAGGTCTAGATTTTTGGAATAAAAAAATCAAAATCTTACATTTCACAATTTAAACTGCAAGCTACAAAACCGACTGCTCTAAAATCTTTTCGTTGCTATTGTAGTACTGTACCTACCCAAATTCATATATTAGTTGATATAAAAAGTTGATGACGTCACTACAAAGTTTCTTGTGAAAGAATCACTTGAAACATAAGCATAGTATGCTTCTTTATTTGTAGTTTAATGGTCCACAACTACATGTAACTTGTAGTGGTTATCATGAAAAGATAAATTTCGCTAAATCATATCTTATAATTTTTCGAAAAATCTGTTGGAATTTGTTGTACTGTACTTCATGGGCGAGGGAAGCTCTGTCGAAATAACCTTCCACCAATTTTTTTGTCTTGTGAAGTGAAATTTGGACTTAGTTTGCGCTGATGATGATAACGACAAGATAGAAGATAAATTAATTTCGCAGAAAATATTATTTACTATTATAGGAAATGAAAGATAAGAGAACTACTTCAAATGTTATTATTCATTAAAAAGTAAGAGAACTTATTATCAATAATATTACTTTTCAGCCATTGAAACTTTTCACGTCAATCAGCGGAAACGTAACCTCAAGGAACACAGTTAAATAAACTTTAAATTTGAATAGTAGTAGCTCTTTAACAATCAATTCCCGCATTTAAAAAAATATATTTATTTACTTTAAATGCTGTAGTGTCCCAGTTTAAGTTAAATTTAGCGACATAAAAAACAACATTTCAGCAAGTGTCGAGGTACCATGTATCGGAAATTCCACACATTGCGTCATTTATTGTTTACAGTAGCGTCGACACCCCATATGACGGGGTTGGTTTCATTAGTGAATTTTAGTAAAATTAATATGGAGTTTAAATAAGTATCAGCCTCATCAATACAAACATTCATTAGTGAAGTAAATCATCGTGAATTCGCATAGAGGAAGGAAATTTCATGCTGGTTTTGAGTTATCATTTATGTGTTCTTCGACCTGAATTTTGAACATCATTTCGGGCACTCCTTTCGAGAGAAGTGTGTACCGAACGGCATTAAGTGGGATTTATAAACTTGCTGTTGACGTTGAAGTTCCCGTTACAGTTGTTGTTCCCGCTGACGTTGTGCTGAAAATTATCATTTATAAACTCCGTTGCCAAGTTGCCGTTGATAGTAACTTTCATGTTCAACTTTTGTCGTATTTAAAAGGGTTCTTGTTTTCGAAATAAGTCTACGTTTTACCTTACCAAATACTAGCCCCGCCCACCCGCCCCATATTTTTTCAGACGATATGTGATTTGCCAAAATCAGTCTTATCTTACTAAGTACTAGCCCCACCCACCCACCCCTTATTTTCTCAGAGTATATGTCATTTGCCAAAATAAGACTTATGTTAGTAAGTACTAGCTGCGCCCACCCGTTTTTTATTTTCTCAGAAGGTGGTACTTGCTAGTACTTGCTAAGATAAGTCGTATTTTGGTAAATGACATATCCTCTGAGAAAATAGGGGCGGGTGGGCGGGGCGAGCATTTGCTCAGATAAGACTGATTTCGGCAAACGCCATAACCTTTGAGAAAAGAGGGGGCGGGTGGACGGGGCTAGTACTTGGTAAAATAAGACTGACTTTGGCAAATGCCATACCCTCTGAGAAAATAGAGGGCGGGTGGGCGGTACTAGTATTTGCTAAGGTAAAACGTATTTTGGCAAATGACAATTCTAAGAAAATAGGAGGTGGGTGGGCGGGGCTAGCGCTTGCTACGATAAGAGTGATTTTTTCCCTATTAAACTTGTAAAAACTTAAAAAAAATCAGTCTTATCTTACCAAATACTAGCCCCGCCCACCCGCCCCATATTTTTTCAGAAGATATGTGATTTGCCAAAATCAGTCTTAACTTACTAAGTACTAGTACTATTTTGCCCATTATTTCTTAATATACGAAGTCTTCTTTTCCCAACAAGAAACTGACAATATGTTTAACTATCCTGTTGTTGAAAGAAAACTCTGTATATTAAAAAAAAAAAAAGAAAATTAAGCCCCACCCACCAGCTCCGATCTCAATTGTGATGAGTTTTTCATTCCTAAATAGACGGGGGGGGGGGGGGTCCAGTTTAATTGTGACATATTATTTCCCTAGAAAATTCTATCCTTTCAAAAATATATTTCATGATAATTTCTTGTCCAGAACTGAGGATTTTGCAACTAAACTCCGCCTCCTTCAGCTCACGATGAATAAAACATTCATCACAATTGAGAACGGGTGGGTGGGCGGGGCTTATATTTTGCCCATTATTTCTTAATATACGAAGTCTTCTTTTCTCAACAAGAAACTGACAATATGTTTAACTATCCTGTTGTTGAAAGAAAACTCTGTATATTAAGAAAAAACAAAAAACACAAAATGTAGCCCCGTCCACCAGCCCTATCTCAATTGTGATGATTTATTTTATTCAAGAAGGCGGAGCTTAACTGCAAAATCCTTATTTCTCTACGAGAAATTAAAAACGTGTTGTTGAATGTTGAGTATCGAGTTCGTTCAAAGAATGCTATGTATGTATACTAAGAAAAAAATAAAGCCAAAGATTAGGCCCCACCCATGTCGGTCCCGATCTCGATTCTCAATTATGATGAATTTTTCATTCGTTGTTAGATGGAGGGGTGGGGCTTAATTGCAAGATCCATATTTGTCTACAAGAATTTACCATTTTAAACATGTTTTAAGTTCCTTGTTCTGAAAAGACGACTATGTGTATTAAGATAAAAGGCAAAATATAAGCCCCGCCTACCCGCCCAGTATCAATTGTGATAATTTTTTTTAAACATCGAGAGCCAAAGGAACGGAACTTAATTGCAAAATCGTTATTATTTATCTACAAGAAATTGCCATGTAAAACATGTTTTTTATTCAAAGAATACTATGTATGTATATTAAGAAAAAATTAAAGCCAAAGATTAAGTCCCATCCATACCTGTCCCGATCTAAATAGTAGTGCAGTTTTGGACAGTTCAAGAGCAAAAAATTCAAAAAGGAATTAGGGAGGTAGCTAAAGAGGAAAGAAAAAAGGATACACAACAAGGGTGGGATGTAAGAAGCTGGAAGTAGGGGACAAAATGTATACATGGAATGACAATAAAGGAAAATTGGAAGAAAAATTTCGCAAATCAAGTCAGCACTAACCGAAGAAAGAAACACAAAGGGGAGGGGTAGTAATGATAGGACAAATAAAGACTTTAGGTTTAAGAATGTAGATTTTGTACATAATAGGGGAATGGGAAAGAAGAATGGGGAAGATAAACGTGGTTTAAAATTACTCTTTTGGAATATTGCGGGTCTGAAAAAGAAAGATAATTTATTTTGGAACTACGTGAAAAATTTTGATTTTGTGGGACTAACAGAAACATGGATACTAGGGAGAGACTGGAACAAACTGAAAGACGTGTTGCCAAAGGAATTTCGGTGGAAATTGCAAGGGGCAAAAAAAGAAAAACGCAAGGGTAGAGCAAAAGGTGGAATCATAACAGGAGTGAAGAAAGATATAAAAGAAATAGAAGAGGGGCCGATAGAAATGGAAGGCATGGTTGAAAGAAAACTGATGGTAAATAAAAAAAGATGAAAAATCTCCACAATCTATAGTAGAGGAATGAGAAAAACGAAACAAGAAATACAAGAAGAAATCGAAGAGTCCGAAGAAGAATTTCTACTGTTAGGAGGGGACTTTAATGCCAGAATAGGGAACAAAAACATGAAAGAAGACGGGGAAAACACACGAAAATCGAAAGATAAAGTAGAAAACAAAGACGGAAAATTGCTATGGGAATTAATTGAAGAAAGAGATTGGGAAGTCTTGAATGGGGTGAAGGAAGGGGACGAGGAGGGGGAATTTACCTGGATAGGTAAAAGAGGGGAATCGGTAATAGACTACGTAATAGTAAACGGATTAGCAGAAGAAGAGGTAGAAACATTCAAGATAGGAGAAAGAGTGGACTCCGATCACATGCCACTAGAAGTAAAAGTGAGGGCATAAGTAGAGGGAGCGGATGCTTAAGTAATGAAGTAGGAAAAGAGAAGAAGATATCGGTATGGAATGAAAAAGGAATTGAGCATTATAAAAAAAAATCTTGGGAGTGGAATTTAAAGAAAAAGAAACTGAAAAGAAAATGGAAGAATTAAAAAGAGAAATTGAAAAAGCAGCCATGTGAAAAGAAATTGTAATGAGAAATTTAGAAAAGAGAAACAGATGGCGGGATAGCAGATGCAGAGATTTAAAAACAAAAGCAAGGAAATGTTTACAAAGGTGGAAAAAGGGGAAAGATATAAAAGAAGAGTACTAGCAAGCAAAAAATAATTATAGAAAACGATGCAAAGGAAAGAAAGAAGAGATACAGCAAGAAGAAGAAGAAAAAATTAAGGCCATAATAACTGAGCAAGAGGCATGGCAGTATATAAATAAAGAACGGAAGAACAAAATCACGACTAGTGAAGACATACCTATAAGACAGTGGAAGAAGCAGTTTATGGAACTGTTGAACGGAAAGGAAGAGAGAATTGTAGCGCAAGATAGTAAAACCGGGAATGGTGGTAGAGAAAGGGGGGCTGAGATTCGAGTAGAGGAAGTAGGAAAACAAGTAGGAAGACTGAAAAGAGGAAAAGCACCGGGGAGGGATGGGTTGGTAAACGAAGTGTGGATATTTGGGACGGATGGAATGATTGAATGATTGAGCGAGTTAATGAATGATGTGTGGACGGGTAAAGGTTTTCCCAGGGAATGGAGAGTAGAGCAAATATGCCCAATTCATAAAAAGGGTAATAAAGAAAAAGTAGAGAATTATCGGGGAATAACTCTCCTAAATACGGCATACAAACTGTACGCAATGGTGTTAAA